GGCTTCTCAAAGCCCTTGACGGTCGCTTTTACGACCAGCAAGCCCGGCTTGCATACGCGATCCGTGTTCAAAAATACAGAGTTTTGCAGAGCTGGGCTCCACCTCTCTGAGGCTCGACAAAACTCAGTTCTTCCCATTAGACGTCCTGCGCCTACTGAGTTTTGTCGTTTCCCCACAAACCAGACTGGTGAGAAGCGAGACGTTGCTTCGATGAATTGATGAGCCTTGCACAGGGAATGTCTAGTCCGAAGGTGACGGGTGTCTCCATAGACAAATATCATGTACTAGGTGAGGGGACCACGAGCCATAGATCGACCGGAGAACCAGGCAGATTGCAAGTAGCTCACCCGGTGGAAGTGTCAATCACAGACGTCATGACCCGACTGCGGCTTCCCACCAAAATAGCAACTTCGCAATCGAAGATAGAGCTCACTCTATTGGCGTTTGAGACATAGTTGTGAGGTCACAAGTCACCAAGAAGGTGCGGTTTGCGACGCCAGCTGTGTCAAACAAGTTATTGTCCTGTAGATATATCTCTTGTGCAAGCTAACTATGCTCCAGTAGCAAAGTTACTGTGGAAGCTGATGAGGTCTATTGTTAAAGGCCACTGATCTCTAGTAATTAAATCTATTCTGGAAGTCAATGCTCCGAAGGCACGTTATGTAGGAGCACGATATATTCAAGTAGAGAGCAATACGGTGGAGATTTAAGCCTCAGTAGCTGTCGCTACTGCGAAAGCATATCATGACCCGATAGTACAAACTGTCGTGGATGCTCGATAAAACTACTGCAGGAGCCCACAAGCTGATCTACAACGCTCCGGTAGGCATTTTACCATGAAAGCTACTGCTTTCGTTTTCGTATATGTGGTGAAAGCTAATGCCCCAGTTGTTTATACCACTGTGGAAACACAAGCTACAGTTGTAAGCGCAGTAACGGGATTGCCCGTCCAGGCTTTTATGGCTCCACTTCCATAAGTATCTGCTCTAACGAAGCTGGAAGAAGTAACCTACGATAAGTTCATTACTAGAACCGTAACGGGATCCGGCGCAAGTGAACGCGAGATCGTTGGCGCCGGGGCGGCATCAAAAGGCGCTCGGCCACCCAGAAGCTGATCCAGCAACTGGTTTGGAGCACGGAGTGCAGTGAATACCATTTTCAATGGCGCCAGGCACTCCAGCGTTGCATGAAGCGACGCATTCGTCTGCTCGACGGCTAGGAGCCGCTCCGACAAAGCACGATAGTCCTTAACATAAGACAGTCGGTGCACAAGGTGCTCCAAGCTTCCGCACAGCGGTATGCGACCTCAGCAAGATGCTCGGCGGAGTGTCGACTACGACGAATTTGTCCTCATGAGCTTGAAAAGTATCGCGAGTCACCGGGCGGCGATCGACGAAGTCGTCATCATCCGCCGCTGACTCTTCTTGAGAGAACTGTGACTTCCACTATCACGTGGAACGCCTTCTGTGTCAACGTCGTCAACAGGGTCTAACCCAATATCTCGTGAAGCGGTGGGATAATCAAACTTCGAGAGCTCGTGGGAATGTGAGATGCCACTTCGGCAAGACTGCCCAGATGTTGTGGACTCTTATGATCAAAACGTGCATGACGCTCCGCGCTTCTCGGCAGTAGTCCGAGGAGCCGAAGGACCATACTCTGAGCCCCAGGCTATGGTCCTGAGCTACTGTGGTCGTAGGCTCACCCGTGTGGTTAACCACAGAGCTCGTGGAAGCGTGATAGATGATTACATA